TCCCCGTATGGGCCACAGAACCGCGAGGGTACAGGGATGCTCGGCCTACCTGGTCCATCTTGGGTATGAACTTCCGCTGGCCTCCCATGCGGAATCGCAGCAGGTTGTAGAACTCCTCCGGGTGGCCTAGGCACTTGACGAACTCCATCCTGGCGGCTGCCGGACGCGGGGCTCACCTGTCTGGATCTCCAGCTCCCGGCGGTGTCTAAGATACTGGGGACCAGCGAGGGTGAGGAGGCGGGGCCAGCGCTGGACGCCCCGCCCACCTCCCGCCCTCCTCAACCGGCTGCGCCGCTCGCGAAGCCAGCCTAGGGCGAGCTCAGTGGACTGACGGGCGCTGATTGGTCAGAGCCTGTCGCACCAGGAAGACGCCGGCCAATCGGAGGCCGGAGGAGTCTGGCGCGATGACCACACCCTAGAGTCTGATTGGAGGGCTAGAAAGAGGCCAGCGAACGCGATTGGTGCCCCGAAGAGGGCCTTTGTTTGCGGGCAGCGTGTCGGAGGTGGGTGGCGTGCGCCGTGGGTGGGTAGGTGGGCGTTCGGGAGTGCCGAGTCCGGTCCCGATCCACGCGTTGCCTGGTGTTGGGAGGAGAGGTTCGCTGGCTCCTGCGTGCCACCGCCCCTAGTTAGCATTTACCTCTGGAGAGGCCTAAGGGATGGGCTAGCCGAGCGGTTGTCAGACTGGGAGGGGGCGGGGACTGGAAACGCGACTGGCGGCTTGTAGGTAAGCCGTGGCGGATCACGGTAACCGGAGCTGCCTGTCACTCTGGCGCTACACTGTGTGCCCAAGAATATAGGTTTCCAAGAGAAAGTAGGTTTCATGATTTAAAAGGAAAAAGTTAGGCTTGAAAACAGGTAAAGCAGAGTCTTGCTTTCCTCCGAGGAGAGTTTCCTGCGGCTTTCCTGAGCTCCAAGTGGGACGGCGCACAGTATTTCTCAGGCTTCCCCCATCCCTCATTTGTGAGACATCATGGTGATGGTTCTTGGATCGTTATTTTCAAAGCTGCTAAAACAAAGGGAACTGGGCTCTTGATGGACATACCTCTCATGGTCTGGTTAATGTGAACCAGGATTTATGTGATGCCTGCAAAATCTGCACAAGATTGGACCCCGTTTGGAGTGAGAGGGACAGCCTCCAGTTAAGGGTTGCAAAGGTCGGGGAAGGGCTCCCTCCCTGAAGATCTGTATGTGTTTAATGGTTGCTAGTGGAATAACTTTTTAAAAAAGTTATTAGCGTAATGATACACGAGTTTTATTATAGACTCCTTCATACATGTATATAGTGTATTTTGATTATATTCTGGTGATATTTTATTTGTGCTGAAATGTGATTTCATTTGTATGTTGATAAAGTTGCCTGGGGATCAGAGCTAAGAACAAGCCATTAAGCAGAAGTCTGGTAGTGGTAGCACACGCCCTTAATCCAATCACATGGCAGGCAGAATCTCTGTGTGTTCAAGGACACAGCCAGCATGGTGACACATGCCTTTAATCTCAGTACCAACCTTAGAGACCTGGAGGTCTGTATAGACAGGCAGTGACGAGGAAGTCCTGTGGTTGGGTTTAGAACCAATGAGAAGACAGAACAGAAAGGCAATAAAAAGACAGGACACAGGAAGAAAGTCTCTCTCTCAGGGGAAGGACGGCAGCGAGTGTGTGTGTGGTAAGATAAGGATAAGGTGGTCTTAGCTCTTGGCTGCTGCTCAATCTCTGGGCTTTTAACTATTTGGCTCTGTGTTTCTTATTTAATAAGACCGTTTAGAATTACATCTACAATATTCCCCTTTAATCCTCATATAACTCCCACTCCTGACAATCCTTTTACTCTTTTAACTATCCCAAGGTGTTTCTTATTATATTTTGATGTGGGCACAAGTATGATCACACAATGCCATGTCAGTTTTCTCCTTCCTCCATGTGAGTCCTGGGAATAGAACTCGGGTCATCAGGTTTGGTGGTGCCCTTGTGTGAACTAATGAGAGACAGATTTTCTTCAGTGGTCTGACCACTAGTAAGTTGCCCATGCCTCTGTTAGGATCCCTAATTAAACCTATTGATTGGTCAAGAAGAAAAATGACAATTTCAAAGAGGAAGAGCATGGAGGGGGACAAGAGAAAATAGGGGGTGAATATGACTAAAATACACTATATACATTAAAAATGTCATAATGAAACACATTATTATATATAGTGAATATATTAATAAAAACACTTATTCTAAAGTATGTGCCTGTTTGGTTCTGAATGCTTGTGCCCCTCCAAAACTCCCGTGTTGAGGCTTTAGTCTAAAATGGGGAACTTCAGAAATGGAAGTTTGGGAGGGATGGTATATAAAGGTCATAAGGGTAGATCTTAATATGATCCCCATGGTGTTGGTGTCCTTACTGCAAGAAAAAAATATTAGAAGAGCCCCACACCACACACACACTGTGAGGTAACATTGTTCTAGAACATGCCATCCGTAATGCAGAAGAGGGATTCTCATCAGATAACCGAACTCTCTTGATTTTAGATTTCCAGTTGCAGAACTGAGAAGTGAGATTACCCAATCACTCAGTCTTCAATTATTTATTTATTTATTTATTTATTTATTTATTTTTGGTTTTTCGAGAGGGTTTCTGTGTAGCTTTGTGCCTTCCCTGGATCTCACTCTGTAGACCAGGCTGGCCTTGAACTCACAAGAGATCCGCCTGTCTCTGCCTCCCAAGTGCTGGGATTAAAGGCATGTGCCACCACCGCCCGGCTTGATTTTATTTTTTAAATTTCCATTCAAAACCTAATTTATTAGAAACAGCCAGGAAGTCAGTTAGACTTGGCCCCACACTTCAGGTCATCCAAGAACTGGAAGAGCCCTTGTGAGCTCTTACCTGCCCATGATCTTAATATTCTGGCAGGGAGCTTCAAAGGTACCTATGTTCAGCAGCAGCCAGAGGGCTTATTCACTGGGTGCAGTGGGGCCATACCCACAGCTTGCCTACTGTGGCACTCTCCCAGTGCATGCTAAGTCCTCTGGGAGGCCACTGTTGATAATGACAACCAAGCCCTGTAGAGAGTTCTCACCAGTGAGCAGGTGGATGATCTCAAAGGCATGCTTGATGAGCATGCACATTGTTGGGCTATAGTGAGATGCTCCACAGTAAGGTGTGGTGTGACACCAGGCACAGCATCCTGGGTGCCTGTTGGGTTTCTCTGCTGGGATACAATCCTGCAGGGAACTGTCACTGAGCTGCACATTCTCAGTGCTCTTAAGTCTCCAAAAGCTTGATGTCAGAGGCCTCTGTGACTGCCCTGGTGACTGCCTCGCACTCAGTCACCCTAGGGGCATAGCTGGCACATTTTGCTAAGGTGTCCTTAAGTCTGAACGCGGCTGTGAGGCTTGTATACTGTTTCTTTTCTCTTTGAGGCAGAGTCTGCAAGACCAGGTTGGCCTACACACTGGGTCCTGCTGCTTCAGCCTCCTAAGGAGCTTCCATGACAGGCGTGTGCCACCACACTCGGTTTAACTGGGTGGTCTGAAGTTCCATAACTGCCCCAGACTTCCCTTTACTCACACATAAAGGAAGGACAGTAAGAATAAGGGCTCAGTACTGAGGAAACGGCTCATTGATCAAGAGAACACACTGTTCTAGAGGGCCCAAGTTTAGTTCCCAGCACCCAGTCAGGTGGCTTACAACCCCTGTAACTCCAGCTCCAGGGGATCTGACTTCCTTGGGCACCTGCACTATTGTGCATATAACCCCCACACAAGACACACACATTATTAAACATAAAATCTTTAAAAACAGAATCGCTTTGTAGACCAGGCTGGCCTCGAACTCACAGAGATCTGCCAGCCTCTGCCTCCTGAGTGCTGGGATTAAAGGTGTGAGTCACCACTGCCTGGTGAAAATAAAGCATTTTTTAAAATGATATAATCATTTTCATGGTTTAACCATCTCCATGGATTATCCTATAGATTCTGAACAAGACCTAAGTGGTGAGCGTCTGGTATAGGTAAACATACAAGGTGTGCCAGGAGCTGGAAATGCAGTTTAGTGGTTAAGAGCTGTTCTTCCAGAGGCTTCTAGTACAATTCCTAGCACCCACACAGAGCAGGTCAAAACTGCCTGTGAATCTAAATCCAGGAAATTCCGACACCCTCTTCTGGCTTCCAAGGACAATGGACTCCTGTCCACATAACACACACACACACACACACACACACACACACACACACACACACACACACACACACACACACCCTCCCTCCAGAGGTCAACAGAAGCCAAGGTGTGGTGATATTGCATTTCACAAAATATTGTGCACCCTAATAAACTTATCTGGGGTCAGAGAAATGAACAGCCACTAGATATAGAGGCCAGAAAATGGTGGCATATACACCTTTAATCCTAGCATTCCAAAGGCAGAGATCTATCTGGATCTCTGTGAATTCAAAGCCACACTGGAAACAGCCAGGCATAGTGACACACACCTTTAATCCCACGAAGTGATGGCAGGAAGCAGAAAGGTATATAAGGCGTGAGGATCAGGAACTAGAGCTGGTTAAACTTTTAGGCTTTTGAGCTGAGATTCATTCTGGATGAGGACTCAGGCTTCCAGTCTGAGGAAACAGGATCAGCTGAGGAAATGGCAAGGTGAGGTGGCTGAGGCTTGTTCTGCTTCTCTGATCTTCCAGCGTTCACCCCAAAACCCAGCTCCAGGTTTGATTTTATTAATAAGACCTGTTAAGATTCGTGCTACACCAAGGACCATCTAGTTCTCCAAGGCAGAAGGGCAGATATGTACTCTTCCTCCCATCCTGCTCCTAAGTGGATTCATTAGGCCAACCCTGCAAGCCTGGGAGGAAGCCACCTTCACACAGGGTGAGAGCTGAACATAGCTCAGTGGTACAGTCCTTGCTTAGCATAAGTGAAACCCCAGGTTTCATCTCAGCACCACAAAACAAAGCAAAATAAAAAACCCACACACGAACAAAAAAATATCTGCCTAATGAGGACAACATAGAAAACACCACACTGTTTTATTTTCAGTTGCTACCCCAGTTCCATGAAGTTGTTGCTAACAACCTGATGGGTTGTTCTCTACATCCCTGGACACCTGAATTGTTCAAACATCCACCATCACAAATGCCCATCTTAAACCAGCAGCTTTTCTCATAGTCCTTGGGGGCACACCTCCCTGGCTACCCTGGAGTCTCCAGCCACCGGAAAGGCACCAGGCAGACTGACCAGCAGTACCTGCCTGTGGCTTTGCCCTCATCCCTGACCCCTCCAAGGGAAAGAAAGAAAGAAAATGGAGGGACTCAAAATCAACCAGTTCCCGAAACACAGTACAACACACCATTAGCAAAGTAGTCTGGGAGTATAATATCCCTCAGCTGTCCCCAACAGCTGCCCCCCACTCCCCCAGCTGTACCCCCTTTTTCAGACTCACTGCTGTTCCAGGCAGTTTCCCTAACCCTGTCAGGTTTTTGACAGTATAGTGGGATTATATAGAATTAACCAGAAAAGGAAAACATCTATCCCTATGAAAGCCACGGCTGAGGCATAATCCAATAAAACAACAACAATAGTGACCTTCTGGACCTTGTCCCTGATCTGTCATACAATTCTTGCCTACACCTTTCTCTCGGGAGACATGGTATCTGGATCTTCAAGGCTACAAGTTCCATGAAGAAGGCCAAGTGTTTTAGGAGGACAGCAGACTCTATGGCTCCTCAGATGAAGGCTGAGGCTGGCACTGAGGGCACCACCAGGTGAGCCTCTGGAATCCACCGGGGGGCCCAAAGGTCTCCTTCCTAACCTGGTGACCGGAAGGACACTCCTGCTTCTGGTAGATCTGTGTGTGCTGTTCCTTGCCTTGGAATTTGTCCCGAAGCCAGTCTGAACTGAACTCCACCACATGATCCACGAGGGCCTCCAGAGAGGAAGAACTCAGGAGCGAACCGAGAGAGAGGGGATGGATCCCTGCTCTGTACAAGGCTTCGTTCTTTATAATGTTCCCTGAAAACATAGAGAAACATGAGGGTACGAAACACTGTCTACATAACCTCACCCTCGCTATGGGGCCGAGGCTAACCTCCTGATCTTCCTGCCTCGACCTTCTAAGTGTTGAGTTACAGGTATGTGCCACCACGATAGCTCGCAATCTATCTTAAGTTAGGATGAGTGGGGTCCAGCTTGCTGGGCCGCTGAGCCATGACCTTGCTAAGGAGAGGAGAGTAAGCTAGATGACACATGGTGATGATAGATGAAATAGTTGTGGATTTTTCCCCAAGAGTTTCATAATTGCACTTCCAGTTACAGGTTCTCTGCAAACTTGAGGGGCAGGCTACCTGGACTCAGCTGCACCCTCACCAGCAAGGTGCCCTTTGGTTTAGTATGGTGATATTTTATTTGTGATGAAATGTGATTTTATTTGTATGTTAATAAATAAGTTGCCTGGGGGGTCAGAGCTAAGAGCAAGCCATTTAGCAGAAGTCTGGCAGTGGTAGCACATGCCCTTAATCCAGTCACATGGCAGGCAGAGTCTGTGTGTTCAAGGACATAACCAGCTTGGTGACACACGCCTTTAATCCAAGTACCAACCATAGATACCTGGGGGTCTGTATAGACAGGCAGTGACGAAGAAGTCATGTGGTTGGGTTTAGAGCCAATGAGAAGGCAGAACAGAAAGGCAACAAAAATACAGACACACAGGAAGTATGTCTCTTTTCTCAGGAGAAGGACGGCAGTGGCTGGTAGGCTAAAGGCTATTTGCTAGTGCTCTGACCTCCTGGGCTTTTAACTCTGCATTGGGCTCTGTTTCTTATTTAATAAGACTGTTTAGAATTACATCTACACTTTAGTTTCCTCACCTGAATAAAAGGGAAAGCTAACAAGTGATTATCCCTGGAGCAGTACGAGGACAGGACCGTGTGTCTGGGTCACTGGAGTCATGTAAGTCACTCTGGCTGTCACCAATGTGCAGTCAGCTCTCTGTATACATCCAAAAGCTGCTTCTGGAAGCCTTGTTGCTCCTCTGGCACAGAAGCAGACTCCATTGGTTCTCCCATGAAAGTACAAGGCCTTCCCACCTTCCTAGAGTGAGCCATGCCTGTGGTAGGCAAAGTCACACTTTCTGTAAGGACTCAGCTTTGCTAATACCAACTGCTGTGGTGGCCAACTGTGGTGGCACTTACCACTCTCCTGTGGGTAGCAAGAAAGCTGCCACTGTGGAAATCAGTATGGCGGTTTCTCAGAAAATTGGGAATCGATCTACCTCAAGACCCAGCCATACCACTCTTGGGCATATACCCAAGGAATGCTCAATCATACCACAAAGATACATGCTCAGCTATGTTCATAGCAGCACTATTCATAATAGCCAGAACAACCTAGACACCCGTCAACTGAAGAATGGATTAAGAAAATATGGTAATATACACAATGGAGTACTACTCAGCAGAGAAAAACAATGAAAGCATGAAATTTGCAGACAAATAGATGGAACTAGAAAATATCATCCTGAGTGAGGTTACCCAAACCCAGAAGGACAAACATGGTATGTACTCACTCATAAGTGGATACTAGATATAAAGCAAAGAACAATCAGACTGCAACCCACAGGACCAGGGAGGCTATATAGCAGGGGGGACCCTAGGATGACTCTGGCTTATAAGTTTTGGTTTTACTCAATTACTGGCAAGCCTCAATGAAACATTTCACTATTAGGATAAGAATTTGTACTGTATCAAGCAGATAATAGAAAAATAGATAAATAAAAATGGAAAAAAAAAAGAAAGAAAGCTGCCCTCCCTGGTACTAAGAACTACACACACTCCTTGTCTCAACTGGAAATGCTCACAGTTTCACCACTCAGTTTGAAAGAACCAAGCAGATGCTATAACAGGTTGCTCAGTCTTCTCTCAGAGATCAGGCCTCATTTTCAGTTTCTTGAGACTTGAGCAAACAGTTTCTGGGAGGGCCATGAACAAAAGACAATTAATCAATGATGCTCCTGGGAGCCCCACAGGGAGACAGGACGCACCAAGCCTGGACCACTGAGCCAGCCCCCACAGTCAGTACATGCTAGGCCAGCCAGCCTCCACAGCAGCTCAAGGACAAAGCCTGGGACTTGTCCAGGCCTGCCCAAAAATGGGTAACTGTAACCCCCAATTAACCCTAGCCAATTAAAAGTTACTAACATGATTGCCACTCACATAAACCAATCCTGAGTCTGTTCCTATGTAGTCTGAAAACCCTAAATACCCTGCCCCTTGCTACTCAGGGTCTCGCCTGCTCTGCTGCTGCATCAGACAGAGAGGCCCAAGTTAACTCGCAATAAAAAGACTCTTTGCTTTTGAATAGGATTTGTTCTCTTGATGGTCTTTGCAGGACCTTGGGTACAACAAGTTCTCCAGAGCAGAAACATCCTTCTTTCTCATGGCTTCTAGGAACCTGGAGCTGATCTGATGTCTGCCTCTGCTTTGACAGCAGGAAGCTCCACTGCCCAAGAGCACTACCTATTGTAGGAACACACCTTCCTCTCTTCTAAGAGCCTTCAGGACAACCATTCACAGCATGCCATGACCCAGAACCTTCTATATGCTCCTAGGTCACCAGGCTTTAGAGGATGCCAGGTGCAAGACATTATCCCTGTGTTAGGTGGTCACACTAATACACCATCAGGAGGCTCACAGTTGACAGTCCTATCATGTCAGAACACAGTTGAAGAAGAATATGAGAATTCTGAGTGCTTGAGAAAAAAAAAAGGAAAAGAACAAAGACAAGGGTCTTGTGGCCTCTGTTTCTTCAAAACAGAATTGTTCTTAGAATGTGTTTTTGTGCTTCCCCCAGGTGTAGTGGAATAGGAGTGTGTTTACTTCATTGTTCATTACAACTGGCTATTGTTACTTGTTTATGCCTCTGTGGAAAAACATGGTTTTGACATCTATGGCTAGTCCTTGTGGTTGGATACAGCTTGAATTCATGACAACTTTACTTGGGTGACCTCTCTCAACTCCCGGTGTATAAATTGTCTGATGCTCTGAATAAAGTTGACTATGGCATGAGACTTTAGTCTGCCTCATTTATCTGTTCCATTTTCCCAGGACCCACACCACCTCTAGAGTAGTAAACACTATCATGATGTGAGTGCTGCACCAGACAGAAGTGAGGACCTGCCTAATCCAACCTCTGAGTCCAAAATCAAGGGATAAGCCAACCTCCAAACCAGGAATGTTGGCACAACTGGGTTCGGAGTCCTCAAGTCCTGACTGCCCTACAGATGTGTGACTTTCCCATTAATCAACTCTGTGGCATTCCTCCCCATCACATGAGGCATACCTACCTAATCCTGAAAAGTATCTCTGGTCCAATAGCGTATAGCACACAGGCTGAGCCTGCCTTAGAGCTTCCAAGGCTTGTCCTCGATGGAACTTTTCAGACAAGATGTCGCAGGTGGGATCAACCACTGGGGGAGGACTCCATGACATCTGGCAATTATAAAATGCCAGGAAGCCACCGCCATCAAAATGGAGTACCAGCCTGAGAAGACAGAAGAGATCACACATACAGCATTCTCAATACAATGAGATCATACAGTCAATTCATAATACATAAACAGACCCCTGTAGAGTCACTTTACATGTATAGATAGTTACCACAATATAATTAGCTCACACATACAACTATCAATGTACATCACCATATAGTTACTGCTGAATAATTATGCCACATGAGCATACAATGACCACTACGTAGGTCACATTTGTACACAGTTACCATTGGACAGATCACACATACACACAGTTTCTACTCTACAGGTAGACTGTGCATTAAGCTTCTATACTAGTCTGGATCAAACTGGGACATTACGGTCCCACGGTCAGAATCATGAACATCTCAGGGCTAAGTGGAATAAAGTAAAACATACGTATACATTGTTTTCTAATTACATTGTAGCAATACATGTTGACAGATAGAAACATGCAAAGTTGTACATATACATTGTTTTCTAATTACACTGTAGCAATACATGCCGACAGATAGAAACATGAAAAGCTGTAAGTCTGAATCCAGGTTAGCCGCAAAGTGAACAGAGGTGGGCAGGCTCACGAGGGAGAAGATGAAATGGTGGCAAAGATGGCACCACTTCCAGTGCCAGGCGGGATTAACCTATGTGTGTGTGTGTGTGTGTGTGTGTGTGTGTGTGTGTGTGTGTGTGTGTGTGTGTTTGTGTGTGTGTGTTCCTACACATATGCGTCCCTGAGCTTTTTGGATGTTAGGACAGAAAGTGTTAGGATACACTTTGGTGAGGAAATAACGTAGGGAAATAACGTAGGGAAATAACGTAGGAGAATCCCAGTCCATGTCTGACCTAGTTGGTGTTCTTGGGAAGGGCAGAGGCAACTTCAGAAAGCTAAGAGCTGGGTACTGTGGTGCATGCCTGTAATCCCAGCACTCAGACTGAGACAGGAGGATTATGAATTTGAGACTAGCCTAGGCTACACAGGAAGACTCTTGTCATAAGATAACCCAGCAATATTTCTTGTTTTTTAATTGTCAGAGCCTACAGATGGCTCAGAGGGTAAAGGTGCTTTCCATCAACCCTGATGACTTTGATCTCCCAGGACCACATGCTCCAGAACCCACAGAACCAACCTGCTGCAAGTTGTCCTCTGATCTCAACATATGTGCCATGGTATATGCATACATACACACATACACACACACACACACACACACACACACACACACACACACACACACACACACACTGAATAAATGTAGTAAAAAATATTTTCTCAAGGATTGGAGGTGAGGCTCAGAGGATTTGCTTAGCAGCAATGCACAGCACCACAAAACAATCTATCAAACTTATAGAGTACCTGTGTCATTTCACTAGAAGGTGACTCCTTTGCTAAAAGGGAAAGTCACACATGACCACTGACCACAAAAAAACCTTAAAAACCCAAAATGGCCAAAATGCTTTATAAACACACTCAAAGGATGCACACTAGCCTGGAAACGATCCTGACAACACAGGTTACCAAAACCTAAAATATGTCAGCATGAGGCTGCTGAGTTGACCTAGCAGGCTTGCTATGAAACCCTGACCTGTGTTTGACCTCCAGGATCCACAGTGAATGAAGAGAGTCAACTCCCGGAAGTTGTCCTCTGACCTCCACACAGGGGTGCATGCATGCACGCACTCATGCAATAATAATGAAATAGATACTTTTTGTTGCTAGCATGTATACTAATAACCCAGTGCAGGTAAGAATTGACCAAATCCAGCCATTCATTCCCTTCCAGAAGCAACTGGGAACTGACTAAGGAAATAATCCTACATTGTTCTTAATGCTCACAAACTGAGTAAGAAGGAAAACCATGTCTCTAAATTCAGAGCACAAGAGTCTAGACATACACTTTTCTTCTGAGACAGTTCATTCTCAAGTATCATGTTGGCTGGAAACCTCACTCTGTTCTCTCAATGAGCCAGGCAGTTACAATCTTCTGGAGTGCAGACCACAGTCCAGTTCTTATGGGTAAACATGCACCTATTTCTTGCTGTGGAATAACCCTTTGGACACTCTAAAGATTTGTCACTCGAATTGGTTTAATAAAAAACTGACTGGCCAGTAGTCAGGAGGAAGTACAGGTAGGACACCTAAACTAAGGTGGGATGCTGGGATGAAGAAAAGGCAGAAAGAGAGGAGTCACCAGCCAGAGAGTAAGCAAGACATGCTGGAGAGGTGAACGCCACAAGCCTCGGAGCAGCACATAGATTAATAGAAATGGGTTAATTTTAGTTGTAAGAGCTAGTTAGTCATAAGCATGAGCTATCGGCCAAACAATTATAATTAAGATGCTGAGTGGTTATGTGGGAGCTGGCAGTCAGGACAGGAAAACTCCACTTACACTTTCTGCCTCCAGGATAGCAAGGTCTGGTCATTCCCAAGTGTGACCGTTCAGCCATGCCTTGCCACAGAGAGGACCATATGAACACTGCAGACCTTACCAGGACCCCCGTACATGTCACACATTACCTGGGCACAGGGTCTTTCCAGTCACCTCTCTTGTTAGCTTTCTTTGCTCTGGAGAAGTCATTCACCCAGATACTGCCAAATAAACCAAACCTGACCTCTAGCCACCTCTGGGCAACTGCTAAAAGGTTGTGTCCCCCAAGACCATAGGGACCATCGGATCCACTAGGAACAGGATCCTCAGAGGGGCCTGCAGAAGTTTCCTGAGCATTGGACCCCAGGGCCAGCTCTGGGTCCATGGCCTCTTTCTGCCACACTCCTTGTCCAGGCTGTGGGCTGCTGCTGAGTAGCTCTATCTCCTCATCTGGATCAAACCGAAGGAACAATTTTTTCCCATGTACCTAGCAAAACAAAATGATAACAACAATGAACAATGATCCTTAGAGCCCTACACAGGGGCCAAAGTTTCATAAACAGCTGGCTGCCAACAGTCTGCCTCCTTTTCCTCACCCAAAGTTTGCCCCAGCACAGAGAACTTCTTGTGTTGGGTCTAAGGTCTATTCTTACAAGAGTTTTAACAAGTAAGTGTGTCTTAGTCCGTGTTCTAGTGCTGTGAAGAGACATACTGACCAAGGAAACTTTTAGAAAAGAATGCATTTAACTGGGCGCTTGCTTATAGTTAATCTATGATCATCATGGCAGGAAGCAGGCAGGCATGGTGCTGGAGCAGTATTGGAGAGCTTTAGATCCCGATTGACAGAGAGTAGGCAGAGAGAGAGAGAGAGAGAGAGAGAGAGAGAGAGAGAGAGAGAGAGAGAGAGAGAGAGAAAGACTGGGCCTGGCACAGGCTTTTGAAACCTCAAAGCCCTCATCTCCAACAAGGCCACAATTCCTAATCTTTCCCAAGAGTTCTATTCTCTGACGATGAAGTATTTAAATATCTGAGCCTACGGGGATCCTTCTCATTTAACCACCACAAAGTGTTTTATGACCATATACAGTTGAAGAAATTAGAGCCAAGAAATTGAGAACTTGCTTCAGCTCACATATGCTGTGGGATGGTCTGTATGTCAAGTGTGTTGCTGATTGGTCAGTAAATAAATCACTGATTGGCCAGTGGCCAGGCAGCAAGTATAGGCAGGACAAGGAGGAGAATAAAGCTGGGAAGTAGAAGGCTGAGTCAGAGAGACACTACCAGCCTCCACGATGACAAACAGCATGTGAAGATGCCGGTAAGCCATGAGCCATGTGGCAAGGTATAGATTAATGGAAATGGATTAATTTAAGCTGTAAGAACAGTTAACAAGAAGCCTGCCATGGCCATACAGTTTGTAACCAATTTAAGTCTCTGTGTTTACTTGGTCGGGTCTGAGTGGCTGTGGGACTGGCAGGTGAGAGAGATTTGTCCTGACTGTGGGCCAGGCAGGAAAACTCTAGTTACAAATGGCATCCAACATGGTGGCAAGAGTTTCCACCTAAAAACTGAGAAAAAAGATTCTAAAACGGAGCTAAAAACAGCTTCCTAATTGTCTCTCTCAAATGAGCGGCAGCTGCCAGTTTGAGCTACTTGTGGGTTCCTGGCGTGCATGCTCGACCTGCCTTATGGTGGGAATGAGGCCTCTGCAAGTGGCACATTAAGCTGCATGGTGGATTTAGCCTTTGTAGGTACAAAACAAAAAAGAGGTTTCTGGGCTACATGCTGCTTGGCTAAAAGCATAGACCCCCGATAGCTCCCAGAGCTGGCGGTAAACGTAACCATGTTGGGAAGCTGAGGTGGGCGGAGCCAGCAGCCACAGCTGCTGCAGTTTAAAGCAATAGATTCACAATAAGACAGATTCAGATGTAATAGTTTACAATGTGTGTTACAATGTGTAGGCTTGAAAGAGACAAAAAAGGTGATATATAGAGTTATAGAAACAAATACATAGTTTTAAAAAATAAAGTCTTTAAAGAGACAGTAAAATTAATATATAAAATAAGCCACGTAAAGATGAATATTACACAGAGAATCTGAATTGTGTTGTCTTTGGGATTTTTAACTGCAGAAAAACATTTGATCATAAAAGATGTTGAGTTAAACCAGTATGTATATTTTAAAGATACTTTGACTTCAAAATTTGGATATAAGGATATGTTGCTTTGGACAGGAGACTCTGCTTTTGTTCCCACAGAAAGCCAAAGGCTATGGATTTGTTCCAGATTAAGATACATCAGGTTTGACCAGCCAAGACCCCCTGAAAGGTCTCCGATGACACCATGGCCCAGATGATCCAACATCCAGAATGGTTTGAAGGCATCTGGCTCAGACAACACAGCCTCATGGACTATTCCATAATCCTTAAATTTTCTTTGTGTCCCCATAAGATACAGCACCCCCCTCCAGCAGGAAGTAGTAAGAGAAGCTACACCCAAATTCCCAAATTATATGTAATTTTACTTTGTTAAGGTTAAAACCTTCCTTTTTGAAAAAAAAAGGGGGGGAAGTGCTGTGGGATGGTCTGTATGTCAAGTGTGTTGCTGATTGGTCAGTAAATAAATCACTGATTGGCCAGTGGCTAGGCAGGAAGTATAGGCAGGACAAGGAGGAGAATAAAGCTGGGAAGTGGAAGGCTGAGTCAGAGAGACACTGCCAGTCTCCACGATGACAAACAGCATGTGAAGATGCCGGTAAGCCACGAGCCATGTGGCAAGGTATAGATTAATGGAAATGGATTAATTTAAGCTGTAAGAACAGTTAACAAGAAGCCTGCCATGGCCATACAGTTTGTAACCAATTTAAGTCTCTGTGTTTACTTGGTTGGGTCTGAGTGGCTGTGGGACTGGCAGGTGAGAGAGATTTGTCCTGACTGTGGGCCAGGCAGGAAAACTCTAGCTACACACATAGCTAAGCAGCAGTATAGCCCAAGTGTTACTGTACAAAATCCACCCCGTGTCCTGTGTTCAGATGTTCATAGCTAAGCAAGAAGAATGTAAGACTGATGAGAATACAGCCTTGCCTGTCTCTGTCTCACTACACACCACGAAGGGCAGATGAAGCATAAGGGTGTAACAGGAGGAAGTAGAAGGTATCCCAGAGGGACGGAGGGGTCATCTCTCAGCTTGTGCAAAGCAGACAGAATAGCATGGCCAAGTGGAATCTGAAGAGAGACTAAAATTACCATGGTAAACTGAAGAGGTGGGCGTGGAAACAGTAGAAGGAAAAAAAAGATGTGCCCAAGCAGGGGGCAACATGTCTACACTGTGGGCAAGAACTAACTGAGCTACAGGTAGCTAATACGAGCAAAGAATGACTTGGGGCTAGGTGCAAAGGCCAGAGAGACAGACATGGAGGGGTCAGTCCACAGGGAGTCCCTGAGCCCCCTGAAGGAATTCTGACTCCCACTGAGAATGAGAAGGTCTGAATCCAGATCTTCGAAAGTGCTCATTCCTTACTTCGCAGCTGGCCTATGAGGGCCGGTGCCACCACACCAAAGATGCAGGGAAGACAAGGAAAAGTTCTCTAGGTGTTGCATGGGGTCTTCAGGGCCTTTTTGTATGAGTTCTTCACAGTTCCCAGACCACTGCGACAGGAAACACCACACTGAAAGAACAGGGCCACATGCACTCCTAGCATGGCTGTCCAAAGCTTAAAGAAAAGATGTCACAAGACATCCTGGCTAGATGTCTTCAGGGGAGGTGGGCGGAGCCAGCACATTTGAGCCCTGAGGAAAGCAAAACTCACCTGGGCATCCTGGAGCCACAGAGCCTGGAAGGAGGCAGGGTGGAGCTTCTTACTGCTGCCCCCTGTCTTGACCACCTTCTGGCCCACGAAAGGGGAGACAAGATGGTGAAACTTCCTCACGGATGGCCCTTCTGGCATCTCTGCAGGTAGAAAGCGGCAAAGGAGACCACGCTGACTTAGCTCAGTCCTCCCCAGCACGTCTGATGGAGTGGTACCCCAAGGAGCCAGTCCGGATCACCCACTTTAAGAGTGTATGTGCCCAAAACGGAGCCTGACTGAGGTGGGGGAATCAGATCTCAGGAAAGACAGAGCTGGGGCAGGGTGAGGGCCAGCTTTGCAGCAATGGTTTCTCTTGCGGGTCTCTCACTCTTATCCATGCCGCAGATGTAATCAACGCAGTGTGCTGGCCTACTGTCTACTTCAACGGAACTGCCACCTCAGTGGTCAGCCACTCATTTGCTTGGTTTCTGGAGACAGAGTCTCGGTGTGTCGCTATAGGGGAGCCAGTACTATGTATTTCTAGCTGTCCTCAAGACTCAACAGCTCTCTCCCTGTGCCTCAGGCTCCCTCAGGCTGGGACGACAGGCATTGCAACACCTCCTTGTTCCTTTTTGCTGGGTATATTAGACCTCTAACTCATTTCCATGCTTGCTTTCTCTGTCCTCCTTCCCAATCCCACCTGCAAAGCAATCATTCCAATTATCCTCTGCTCACTTATCCATACTTGAATCTGGCTCTCTCAGGGCCACCTCTGGGAAGGGAGATATGTACTAGTTATGAGATCTCTAAAAGTGGTTCTCTAGCTGTGACCACAGTGCTGGCTGGCAGAGCTCAGAACTGTGACAAGTAGACACCAGCCAGGCAAGGAGGCTACCAACCAGCTTAACTCCTGATAATATGCCTGATGGATGAAAGGCTGCAGTAAAAGCAAGGCAGGACTGCCTGTCACCCCTCCCCTCCCTGTTCTTAATCATCCAAAGTCACTGAGAGCCACCAGGATGAGAGAGAGAGCCTGAGTGGCCTACATCCTGATTTAATGAGTGGGAGTCTCGTGCCCCACGCCCCCCCCCAAAGGGTCTACCTAACCTTATCGACCACTCACCAGCACCAGGCTCCATAAACTAAGGTGAACGGGTGAAAACTAACAAAGGCATACGGCTGGTAGTTAGTATTTCAGTGTTTCTAAAAGCCGGGTTGGTTGTTGTTGGTTTTTTTGTTGTTTTGTTTTTGGTGGTGGTGGTGTTTTTAAGTCTCACTCTGTAACCCAGGCTGGTCTTGAACTCTGAACAATCCTCCTGCCTGAGTCCCCCAAGTGTGAGTACTGGAATTATAAGTGTGAGCCACATACAACTCCCTCCCTACTAAGACACTTAAAACTTACATTTTAATGGAAGAATCGGGATACCTAGACACCCCACGAATTTTCATAGCTTCGTAAGCAACACATTCAATAATGCTATTTTTCGTCTTGAGACAGGTTTGCCTATATTCCAGATGCCAAGCTGGCCTGTAGCCCCTGTGTATGGATGGCCTCCACTCTCATAGTATTACTGTTATTACAGGGCTGTGTTACCACTTCTGGTTTATGCGCAAACCCAGGGACCCTTGCAAGCTAGGCAACCCCTCTATCAACTGTGCTAAATCCCAGGCTTCAACAACGCTTACTTAAATTCCTCCACACTTGGATTCCCACCCACACTCTTGGAAACGGGGGGTAAACAGTTCATCTACTCAGACCTTCAGGGTTAACTGCTAGGCCGGAAGGCGGTTTGTCAGTCACTGGCACCCTGACCACCTTTCAGTTCTGAGTCCTCCTGGCCTCCGTCAGAGAAAGTTCTGGAAAAGCCCGCCTGTCCAATGCACCATCATCTTAAATCTCTACAGCCGGATGTGGTGACACAAGCCTTTAATCCCAGCACCCCCAGAGGCAGAGGCAGGAGGATTTCGGGGAATTGCAGGCCAGCCTGGTCTACATTTCGAACCCTGGCTACACCTGAGACCTTGTCTCCAAATAACTCCCCGCCCGTGGGCATGCTTTGATGGTCAGGAAAGGGATGAGATGAGAAAATGAGAACCTTGGGCTTCGTTGCTAGAGCGAGGTGGCCAGGCAATGCAGAACACGGTCCCTGTTCTCCAGCGGCCAGGCAGAGTCTTAGGCGGCCGCGTTTCTCAACCCTTCAGTGCGATTGAAGGGGGAGTTAACAGGTCACGAGGGCCCGGGAAGGCGGAAGGCAACGTGATCAACAAAAACAAACACACGATCCGGCTGCGCGTGTCCGGAAGAAACGCTGCTTAGTTTTTCTGTAATTGGCTTTTCACCAAAGATTAAAAAGAAAAAAAAAAAGTGTTGACAACGTGCACGTGTGTGGCCCCGGGAGGGTGGGGAAGAGGCCGAGGCGCCCTGGCGGGTCCCACAGAACCGTCCTCTCCAGGATCCGGTCCCCGCGGCCGCAGCAGGACCGCAATCCGCCTGCGCCTTCCAGTTCCAGACCTGGGGGGAGGGCGCGTGGTGGTGGTGGTGGTGGTGGTGGTGGTGGTGGTGGTGGTGGTGGTGGTGGTGTGGGCACGACAGGCTCAGCCTGCGTGAGCACGGGAGGCGGGGTGGCCCGGAGCCGAAGAGCTCCTGCGGGGCTAGGCGGGAAGCTGCTTCCGGGACTCCAGGGCTCCTCCCAGGGACCGAGCTCGTCCTAGAGGTGGATCGGGAGCTGCGGGCTTCTTTCCTGGGAGCCCTGGAGATGGGGACCCTCCGCGATGGGGGAGCTACCAGCTTTTCCCCTGGGGATGCTGGAGGTGGGGTGCATCCGGAGATGGAGAGCTGCGGGCTTCTCTCCTGGAGATGTTGGAGATGCGGTTCGCCTCGGGAGGGGGACTGCAGGCTCCTCTACTCAGGCTCCTCCCACAGGAGGGAGGGATGCTGCGGCCTCCTCGCTGCAGTGACCACAGGAGACGCAGCTCTCTTCCCTGGGCCAAGGTGCAAGCACTTCCCCTCACTTGAGGCGCCCAGGGAGCGTATTTGTCCGTCCCCCCAAGTTCCCCGCCCCATATCTATCATTCCCCCCAACCCCTCCATACCTCCGACTCCTCGCAAGCTTGCCAACTCCTTAGGGTCGGGGAGGGTGGACTGGTACCAAGAAAAGGAAAGCGCTCAAAATCCCGTGGTCTTGCGTGGTTCAGGCCAAGACAGACGTTTCGGGTGTTCCGCACTCTTCGCGAAGTTTTTGGTTCTTTGAGACAAAGTCTCACAGTATAATGCGGGCTGGCTTGGAGCGCACTGTGTAACCTTGGCTACCCTTGAACACCTGGGTGATCCTCCAGTTTTAGTCTTTAAAGTGCTGGAATTTTAAACACAGCTAACACGCCCGGCCTGAAAAGCTTTTAAAGAGTGAGATTTGTTTTGAACATATTTTAATAGTGTTTGAATTTTTTTTTTTTTTTTTTTTTTTTTTTTTTTTTTTGGTTTTTCGAGACAGGGTTTCTCTGAGTAGCTTTGCGCCTTTCCTGGGATGAATTTTTACTATACGCTTTAAAAATGTTTTTATTGCGTATTGAAATTTTTACTTGGAAGAACAAAGACGGTAGCAGGTAGTTCAAAGATAGCTAGGACTCCAAGGAGGGTGGGAGCCAGCACTTTCCAGGAAGTTAAGAGACCTTTGGCGAATTCTGAGCAGGCCTACAGGAGATGGCTAGGGTGTCAGTCCCTGGACCTTGCAACTGAGGGCCCAGGAGGACTTGGCCAGCACAGGGAAACAGCCCTGCCTCGGGTGGTTCAGCTAACCTTCCACCATAGTGCCTGTTATAGGGTGAGAGCAGAAGAGGCCTCTGACGTCTGAGGGGCAAAGGTCCCGTAGAGGCAGAGGGTGAGCTTGAGGGCTTGGATTTGCAGGAGGGGGTCCCTCCTTTATGGATAAGTGTTGCAGTGTGCTTTCCCACTCTGCATCCAGCCTCTTCGGAGAATCGCATCAAGGAACACTACCGCTGAGAAAGTGAATGTTCACAGCTTGCTGCTGTCACTTCACATCGCGAGTTTAGTTTGCTGAGCACATGCTATGTGTAAGACACCCTGGAAAATCTTTACCTGGACCGCCTCGTTGTTAGCTGTGGGAAAATAAGCCAGCCACAACACCTAAATCTAGTCTTTATATGGTGCGGGGCTCCTACCCACCAACCCCACAGTTCCCCAGAGTTTCCTTGAGTGCGAGCAGCAGGAAATATTAGATAGAAGGATTTAGAGTTTGGAGATAAACAGAAAATACAGGATAGCCTCGAGAGGGCCTGGAACCTATTCCAATAGGCCCTGGCTGTCTCTGCCCTAGGGAGCAAAAGACCTCCCCCCCCAGCACAGCCACATGCAGACCATCTCAGACACCTGCACTCAGGCCCATGGTCCAATCATCCTCTCTATGCGGACCTGCTGGGTAAAGCCACTAGGAACCTGAAAATGGGCTCCCACAATATGGGACATCTATGCCATGACATTATAGACATAAAGCCATATTTCATAAACTCTGATATGTATCTGAGTCACTTGGAAACGTTTAAGGGTAGATTATGAGGAATCTGTAACAGGGCTAGAAATGTGCCTTTCTGACAAGCCCCCCACTGACTCTGCTTGCCCAGGGACCACACACACTTCTTGCTTGGAGAGTCGTGTTAGGAGGTCCCATTGATTGAATGCTTGAGATATTGGTTATGCTCACAAGCTAAAGATTGCTCAGCTCAGGCTGTGCAGGGGCGCCCCAGCCTGTAAGTTTCTTGTTCTATGGGAGTGGGATTCTGGAATCCAGTAGTCAGGTTTTATATCTTGGTTCTATAGTAGTCCTGTGACTTTTTGTTTTGTTTTGTTTGTTTTTTGAGACAGGGTTTCTCTGTGTAGCTTTGCGCCTTTTCCTGGAACTCACTTGGTAGCCTAGGCTGGCCTCGAACTCACAGAGATCCGCCTGGCTCTGCCTCCCGAGTGCTGGGATTAAAGGCGTGCGCCACCACGGCCCGGCTTCTAGTTCTGTGACTTTTGACGAGTGACTTGAGATCGTGATTACAAAGATGTTTTCCTGAGGCTAGCTAAAGCTATCAGTGTCTAGCAGGTAGTAAGGCTCAATAAGCAATAATGCTTTTGAGTAGCAGAATTTGGTTGAGGATAATCTCAAGTTAACTGATTATAATCTGGATTATAAACTGATTATAAATTATAAATAATTATAAACTGATTATAGCTGGAGAACCAGCAATAATGGATATGGAAAGGGAGAATGCCTGCGCCCCCACGTGGTGAATGTGTAAACTGCAAGCACAGTGCTTCCTGGGTATTCAGTCCTAGGGAGGGAGGTAAGTACTTGTGGTCTTCCACCAGCTATGACGTTAAGGAAGTTCTCTGCATGGCAGCACTAAAGGATTTGGATCTTCGGATGATCTCTGTGACCTCTATGGTCTGAGTTTCCTTTTTCATAGCTAGATTGTCTTCATTCTCCGATCTCCCAGGCCGGCTATTGAAGACCATTGAGACACTTAAGTTTCCACATTCTGAACAACTGAACCCCTGTAACCCCACTCAACTCTCATAGGCTTGTACCTTCAGGAAGGGATGGAGGGATTAGCAGAAATTATCCAACCCTCATTAAGCTACATAAGGCTTTCCTCGGGCTCCATTTGTCCCACCAAGTGCTAGGGCGCCCTAGACAGACTTGAAATGGTTAATCTGACAGCCTTCCAAGCCCAGACTATACCAGAGGCTCAGAACTCAGGCTGGTCTTGAACTTGTGATTCTCCTGCCTCCACCTTGTGAGTGTTGGGGTGTATACCACACCTGGGTTATGCAGTGCTGAGGATCGAACCCAGGGCTTCATGTATGCTACGCAAGCACTTTACTAGTGAAGGGAAATCCCAGCCTAAACCTTTCTCATTTAAGTTAATTATCTCAAGGTGTTTTGTTATGGCAAGAGAAAGGTGACAAAATATAGTCAGCATGCCAAGCTTTGGGGTCAGGGTTTCCTCCTAATAATCCTCCAGCCCCATTTGGTGCATATTCAGTGATGAGAAACTTGAGGCCATTACCATCAGCCCACCCCAACACAGTCACAGCTAAGCTGCCTCCCTCTCAGAAGCTGGGGCCCATGCATAGCCAACTGCATATGGACTTAACCTGGGTTCCAAACGGTTTCATCAGAAATGTGATTTCTTATGTAGACTTGTCCCTAGAGAAAGTGATTTATCCCAGTGACATCATTTTGTACCCTCCCCTCACTCTCCCTCCTCCCAACAATGTCCCAACAATTTGGAAATGCATCTTTGTGGTTGCTGCTGCTGATTGAGACAGTGTTCACCACCAGGCTTGGCTGCGTTTTTTATTGTCTTTTGGAAACAGTGACTCAGGATTCCTTAAAGATTGCTTGATTAGGGGAAGCAACAAGTCTGGTGATCAAGGAGGCCAAGTTATCTTCATTGGAGAGGGTACCAGTTGTGATGGGATGCAGAAAGAGGCATCTACTGAGACTATGTAGCATTTTGTTCTGAAATCCATTTCTAAAGAGAAGTGATGTAAATGTTTTAAACAAAAATGCCTTAACCAAAAACCATGAACCTCCTCTTCTTACTAGGACTCACCTTCCCTGACGGATGGCAGCTCTCAATTTAATGGGTTTGGCTATTCTTTCAAGAGTTGAAAAGTTTTTCTTGGGCCAGTAAGATGGGCCGCTTGAGCACAGCACTTGCCATACAGGCCTGACAACCTGAATTCGATCCCTGGAACCCATGTGGAAGTGGAAAAGAGAGAACCGACTCCCAGACTGGTGTGCTGTGGCATGTGTGCCCCTTCACACAATTAACTAAATAACTTTGAAAACATTTTAAAGGTTTTTCTGGTTTTACAGAGAATGATGAGTTTCTCTGTGTGTTATTACTACTAGAAAATAACCAGGATGCCATGAGATCTGAGGTCCTAGAATGCCTGGTAGACTTGGCATAAGCTGATCCTGAAGGTGGGTGATATGCAAGCCCAGCCAATGCCACAGGGACCAAATGACACATGGCTTTAGGACCAGTGAATGCTCTGCACTCCTCAGACTTCTGAGGTGAAGCAGATAGGCAGGTATGGCCTGAGAAGGTGAAGCCAAAAGAGGCAAAGGAGACAGTTTTGTCTTCATCTCACTGGGGTAAGTATTTGTCCCTTGGGGGCCATTCAGGATGTGTCCTACACCAGGAGACAGGAGAGATCGTGGACCATCCAGTTAAATGGAGCCACAAGCACTCAGGTAAATGCTCTAAAAATGTCCCCACTCACAGGGTGACATCTATGTGAGAAGGTGGGGACAGGAACTTCAGCTAAGGCTGCTCCGGTCCTCTCCAGGAGGCTAACCCTGTCCTGAGATCTTCCACTACCATCTCTCACCAGCCTCCACCACCAACTCCAAGGTGCCTCCTGCCAAAACCATGAAGGGGAAACTTCATGGGTAGAGGCAGCCTTTGGTCCACTAAAAGGAGAATGAGCATCAGTCCTTCTCGAAAAGAGTTCTGAGGGAAAGAGGAATACAGATAAATTTATTAGTTAAATACTGATTTTACAGCCATTTCACCTTAAGACAATGTTAACAGGTTGTGGAGGCAGGGAGGCATGGGAGGGCAGCCTTGAGGAAGAACACAGTGTAAATGATGATTACAACAGAATCTTGGTTCAAAGCTATTCTCTGCTACGGCCGGTAAGGTTTAGGGGTGGGGGCTGGGAGTTTGGGGAACAATGGGGTAATGCCATAGTTGGCTACAGCTCTGTGGGTGATGAGGACAAGGAAGAATCTTTGGGGGCCCCAGTAATGGGAGAGGGAGAAGGCCAATTCTAGGACAGCTATAAGCATGGCAATCCCATCAGGCCCCGAGACATCTTCCATCCGTCACCTTTGTCCTTTCACAAATTTCTTTTTGTTGTTTTTGCTTTGAATTTATGTTGCAAACCCTCTGTATTTCCTAGACAAAGGATCTGTGCTGGAGAAAGGCCCAGATCCAGGTAACTGACTTGAGAGGCCATGGCTTGGCAGGCTCAGAGCAAGCAAGCTGGAGTCCTGGGAACAGGATTGCGCTGTAGACACAACCTCCAGAGGGACCCAAGGCGCAGATGAGTGCAGTCACCAACCTGCTTTGGTAGCAGGCTTTGTCCCTCCGTGGAACCCCTGTGTGTGTGTGTGTATGTGTGTGTGTGTGTGTGTGTGTATGTGTGTGTGTGTGTGTGTGTGTGTGTGTGTGTGTGTGTGTGTGTGTGTG